TTGTCATCACCTTCTCAGAGACAGCAACAAGGCAGGTCAGGGGTCCAAAAGAGTTTAGTTGATTAGAAATGAAGGAGAGAGCTCAGGTAAGATGATAATGAAGACAAATATAAACAGAATACTCAATGTCATCAGCGGGGCATCAGGAGCAATTATGGTCATCTTCTAAATCTTTATTTTGAATATTTTATTATTCCAAGTAACAAAACAACAAGACTTTTAAATCCAAAGTGCAACCAAAGGGTATATTATCTTGTTATAGGGACTGAAAACATTAGATGGACCTGGAGCGACAGATGCTTTCATGAAATTCCAGACACCTGCCTCACAGAATGACTCTCTGGACTCCTGATGAGGTAGCTCTTGCATCAGCTTCCCCAGAAGGTGCAGTCCCCCACCACCGCAAAAACGCCTGGCCACAAAGACCTCGGCCAGCTTCACACTCCTAGAGGGCTGTGTGCGCAACTTAAGCAGTGTCCAAGGCAAGTAAATTCAACCCAGAAATCGATCAGTTCACTCTGGTCTCTTGAAAGCCACATTAATAACTCCAAAGTTGAAGCAGGGAATTTTAGCAGAAACCCTTAATGCCTTGAATCACATTTTGTACCCAACCGTGTTGTGCACTAAAAATGGATTGCCCGTTGGCCATTAGTAAAGGGAGGGCCCCTAAGTACTTTGGAGTAAGCTGTGGGTTTTCTGTCTGTTTTTTTCATTGTACACTTTTCTCCGCTCTGTCTTTTGGAGCCCGTGGCAGCCACTTCTCTGTTCCTTGTATGAAATGTGTGTGAGAGCTCACATTAAAACTGTAGCACTTCTTAGATATAGGGATTTTAAGAAAAAATAATACAGCTTTGTTTCTTCCCAGAAAGCCAACCGTGACGACACAGAAATAGGAGACTGCACTCAAGAAGCCTGGAGACTGTCGTGCAAGGCCCCGAGTCCCCCCTGGGCCTTGCGGCCATTCTCTCTTCCAAACCAATTCCTAATCTATTCCCTGGTTCTTTCAAATCAGCCATTGTTCAAACCTTCAAGATCTTATTGTATATTCCGGTTCAAAATCGAGCCTCCACTGTATCAGGTCCAATGAATGTTATTCAACCTTAAAAAAAAAAAAAGGAAGTTCACTTTTGGCTCAGAGGAGGCTTAGGTGCAACTTCCTTCTGTTGACCCCAATCCGGTTCATTTAATGCCAGCTCCCTCCATCAAGCCCCGAAGTTTGACCCCAACCAGGTCACAGTAATATATCTAAGGTGCACAGCTAAGGAGATCAGGCCATGTCTGCCCTGGCCCCCCACATGGGCCTGCCGAGCCTGTCTCCAAGAAAGGTTGTTGATGACATCGCCAAAGCAACTGCTGATTGAAGGGTCTGAGGATTACAGTGAACAGACAGGCCCAGGTGGAGGCAGTACCACCTCCTACCACTGCCCTGATCATAAAAGCTCTCGAAGAACTGCCGAGAGACAAAAAGAAGCAAAACATCATTAAGCACAGTGGAAATGTCACTTTTGATGAGATTGTCGACACTGCTGACAGGTGGGCACCGACCTTTAGCTAGAGAACTCCCTGGAACTGTTAACGAGATCTACAACGTTGATGGTATCAGCCTCATGACATCATAATTGATATCAACAGTGGTGCAGTGGCATGCCCAGCTAGTAAAGAACTACAAAGGGAAATATTTCCATTAAGAAAGAGAGAGAGAGACAGAGAGAGAGAGAGAGAGAGAGAGAGAGGAGGGAGAGGAGGGAGGGAGGGAGGGAGGGAGGGAGGGAGGGAGGGAGGGAGGGAGGGAGGAAGGAAGGAAGGAAGGAAGGGGGAGGGAGGGAGGGAGGGAGGAAGGAAGGAAGGAAGGAAGGGGGAGGGAGGGAGGGAGGGAGGGAGGGAGGGAGGGAGGGAGGAAGGAAGGAAGGAAGGAAGGGGGAGGGAGGGAGGGAGGGAGGGAGGGAGGGAGGGAGAAAGAAAAGGAAGGAAGGGGGAGAGAGGGAGGGAGGGAGGGAGGGAGGGAGGGAGGGAGGGAGGGAGGGAGGAAGCAAGAGCATGATAAACTTGGAGGACTCTGTGCTACGTGAATAAGCCCGACAAAGACAGATGCTGCGTGGGTGCACTTATAGAGGCACTAAGAGTTCACTCTAGAGACAGACAAAGGATGTGGGCGCCAGGGCCGGGCAGTGGGGATGGAGAGCTGCTGTTCAATGACATGAAGTTTGCTGTGTGAGATGCGTAGCCACAGAGGTCCGCTCCACAGCGTAGTGCCTGCGGTTACCACTCCTGTACTGTACACTTGCAGATTGGTTAAGAGAGTGTAAGTCATGTTAAGTGCTCTTACCACAATTTTAAAAAAGTAGCCTCCACTATTTCAATGTCCAACAACATAAAACTGATGATATGAAATATAGTTTATCCCCACAACATAGTCAGTAAAAGGCACAGACCATATAATAATAATAATAACAACATTTTGAGTGGTGAACAGTGCCAGTTATTATTATAAATGTCTTATACATAGTACTTCGTTTAATCCTTATACCACCCTTACAAACTAAATACTGTTACTGTTCCTATTTTTCCAATGAGGAAAGGAGATGCAGCGTCACTAAGGAACTTGCGCCAGTCTCGCAGCTGGTAGATTGTGCAGCTTTAGGAATGGTACGGAAAAGCCAGGAAGGCAGAGAAAAAGTCCAGAATCTAGTGTTGGATTAAAAAAATAAATCGCAAAACAAGCAAAAACAAAAAGTATTATATTTTTCTATTTTATTAAAAATTAAATAGAGATAGATTATATTTATAGAAAATGTCCTGAATAAATAGACATAAAATAGTTAAGAGCTGGCCAGTGTGGCTCAGTTGGTTGGAGCATCGTCCTATGGACCAGAAGGTCACAGGTTTAAAACAGTTAAGAGGGTATGTGTGGTGATGGATGGGCACTAGACTTATCTGGGTAATCTGGGTAATCACTTTGCAAGTAATATAAATGTCTAATCCCAATGCTGTACACCTGAAACTACTATATGCCTGTCAACTGTAATATGAAAAAAAAAAAAAGAACAACAACAACAAGTTAATATCTTGAGGGGAAAAAATAGTTGAGAGGATCAACCCTGGGAAGTGACAGTAAGAAGTGGAGAGAAGATCAACTTTTTGTTGCACAGAGTTCCGTGTTGTTTTTAATTTTTAAAAATGATTATCCTTTAGTGTAAACAGATAATTAAAAATTGTACTCACTGTTTATTTACTTTGATACCAGATTTTACTACGTGCACAGTATTGTAAGACGTGCCCCAAGACATTCCGAGGTCAGGTGGTGGCTACATCAATCCAGTTCTCTCTCTAACTACACTGTTCTGTCTGTGAATCAAGCCAGAGGAGAAAAGTACACATTCTTTTACCGTTGTGTACAATCAATCTTTTTATCTTTTTATTTTTCCCCTGATTTATTCTATGATCTGATCACTCTCTAATCAACTTTGAGGGGCATTATAAAAAAAAAAAAAGTTTCCTGAAAGATATATATATATATTTTAATCCTCACTCGAGGGTATTTTGCTATTTATCTTTAGGTAGAGTGAGAGGGAGAGAAAGGGGGAGAGAGAGAAACATCAATGTGAGAGGGACACATTGACTGGTTGCCTCCCACATGACCCCGACCGGGGTCAGGGACAAACCACAACAGAGGCACGTGCCCTTGGCTGGAACTGAACCCAGAGCTCATTGTTTTGGGGGCTGACCCTCAACTGCTGAGCCAAACCAGCCAGGGCCTGAAAGATATTTTTATGTTCAAAGAATTGTTGTGGAAAACACATTGCGTCATAGTTTCATTTCTTTTGGAGACCATAGTGCGAAATTATTTCTATAGATTCAGTATGGAGAATGACTTACTCTTCTGAGTAACTGCTTTATTCTTGTGGTATGGACCAACCATGCGTCTGTGTTTTCGGGGTCTGTCAGAAAGCTTAAGATGCGTCTGTTTCGCACCCCTGGGAAATATACAGGGAATGCTTTGCTTTCTCATCGCTATCAGTTCTTCCTACTTTTCTCACCTTCATTCTCCCATATTTGTTCACCTACATTTTTAATCCTCCCTCTGTTTTTTGTTTTTTTTTATCCTCACCCGAGGATATTTTTCCATTTTTTGTACAGATAGAGTGGGAGGGAGAGAGAGGAAGGGAGAGAGAGAGAGAAACATCGACGTGAAGGGACACATCGAGTGGCTGCCACCCGCACGACCAACCAGGGCCGGGGACAAACTGCAACCGAGGTACGCGCCCTTAGCGGGAACCGAACCCGGGCCTCTCCGGACCGCAGGCCGACGCTCTAACCGCTGAGCCAAACTGGCCAGGGCCTCCCTCTGTTTTTGTGTTCTTATTCGAATGTGTCTTGCTAACTGCCTTACATCATTTCAGGACAAGGCAAAATAAAAGAAAAATATTTAAATGAATGAAATTTAATTTGCGTATGTATTAGTTTTTCAAGAAAACCCAGTTGAGTTAGGTCTAGTTGAATTTAAATTGCCCATTATGTCTAAGGTGGCCATTAGAAAGAGAGTTTAATTATGCACTTTTCCAACACTTAAGAGGTTCTACTCAGAGTTTATTATCAACATCTCATAATTTGAAAGAAGAAATAAGACTGAAAAATATAAATCACTGTCATTTAAAAAGTCACTAGCACCTGATTTTGCAAGGCCTTGTGGGTATTCTGTAGACAGAATAGACCCAGTGTCTGCCCCAGAACACAGTATGAATTGTAGATACAGTATATCCAAATCTAGTAATTTGGGATCCAAAAGATTCAACCTGTATTTATACTATTCTAAGAGCATGTGAAAGGCTTCTTCAGTCTTGGTAGAAAATAGATACTGTGAAGCCTTTTCCTAAAGAAGCTCATCTCGAGGTAAACAAAGACATCTCCCAGGAGCCACCAGGTTTAAACTACTATGAATTAATTCCAATGGTAGAAGAGAAACATTTCAAGAATGATCTGACAAAACAGCTTTCTACTTGCCTTATTAATTTCTTCAGACATCAGTTCACCAGGAGAAAGTAACAGCCTCTCAAAGTAATGCCAAATCTGTAACAACAACAACAACAAAAAAGCCACACCTTTAAACTTAAATATCCCATGTAAACACATCCAAGTTGCAAGGCACTAACACATTCCAAGTGCGCGCTTTATTAGAAATGAAATTTCCCAGGCGAAAGCTCAGAGGGAGAGGGACAATTCATCTTTTTCCCATCTCTGAGGCCAAAGATCTTCTCCCTCACATAATACGAATACAGTGCTCACTTGTGGCCAGCATATACAATGCCATGTAACTGCCATGACATGCTATAGAATTGGTAGACAAATGTGCCTTCGGATTATTGTTTTCCAGCTGCTAGAGTCGTTATAACCTGACCACATAAGCTGTTGGTACCACACTGCCACCTTGGCTGTGTTACTATAACTAATCATTATTTCAGAGTCGAGAGTCTTGCTCACTATCACCATCATTTCTGAAGATGTTAAGGCACAGGACCAAGGAAAAGAGGTACTTGGTTAGCCTTACGGAGCTGGTAATGACAGATACTATAATCAACTTCAAATTTAGAATTTCTGGGGAAAACGTGATTAGATGTTGACCCATAATCAGCTCCACAGGAGGCATTTCAACGTTGAAACAGTGTAGATGCATTCTGGTTGACAAGTATAGTGACTACAGTTTATTAAATCTCACTTCCATGAACTTCTACATGACTTTAGGATCAAGCAGATATAGCTTACTTCCCACTTCTAAGTAATCCAATCACTGAAATAACTCAGTAATAGTCTTGCAAAGATAAATTTACATCCACATCTTCAATAATTTACACAAGTATCTAAAAGGCATTTGCTCTTAAATTTGGAAAACTGTGAATTTCATATCCCAATGAGAATTCCTATTGTAAAATATTTTTGGCTAATCAACATTAAAGTAAAATGATGCCTGTTTTTAAGTGAGATGTTTTATTCTCAAAGTAAATGAAAAGTATCCAGTAAACTGTAGCATCGTCAGGTTGTAGACATCCCGATGAAATATTGCATTGAGGAACAAGGATTCATATCAAATGCCCATTACTCTAAGTTAATACTACCTACAGAAATCACCTGAATGTTTTTAATTTTGGAAAATTGTACTTGAAATATGTTCTTGATTGATTTCCTTCTGTTTAATCAGAGATGCCTAGCACTAAAACAATTACATGTATATTCTTTCAAAAGTAAACATCAGATATTGTAAGATTATCTAACAATTTTAAAATAAGTTAATAATTTTTTTTCCAAAATTGTCAAACTCCACACTAGACCACACTATTAAAATATTAACAGTGCATCGGATGATATGGTGGCCAATAACATTCATTAATTCCCACTGGCAAGGGTCCAGATGCCAGCAGCTGGTCAGTTTTCCTTAGCAGAAATTCTCTGCCTTTACTTATTGCTTTGGACGGGTATTGAGTTCCAGTGCTTCATTACATATGTGATTCGTTATGTCCCCTGAATAGTTTTCAGATTGGAATTGAATGGAACCGAAGTTCATTGGCTTCAGTAGGTCTACATATCCTTTCAACAGCTCTCTCCAGAAGGACTGGTTTTTATAACACGAAGAAGGACCTAGTGTTTAGACATAGTGACTTTGTTTTTAAATAACTAATACTGTATTGCTTTTTATTACTATTTCATAACTTAAAATATAGCCATTTGAATGTAAAAAAACTAATTTTTTAAAATTATGTTTTAAATATATACTTACAAAGTTGCTCTCTATTGTTTTCATGTACCCTAAATAATATTTAAGAATTTGTAGGTATGTAATAGGTATTGACTCCCTTTGTTAAAGGACGTGTGAATCAATATGAAAAAAGGTAATCAGAAAATTGAAGTTTTCTTATGCTTGTTTAAGGAAAATGAAATCTGGGAGATTCAAAATGAAGTTTCATTAAAAAATATTCAGACTTTTGAACTTTTAAAATCTTCCAACTGAATCTATTGAATTCAAATAAGTTTTGTTACTATTACATTATTAACTATGTTTCTTTAAAACTTAAAAAGTTATAGAGTATGTTCTCTAGTGTACAGACTTACAGTTCGGTTCAACAAACACTGGTTCTTACTGTGAACTAGACATTATGAACAGTGATGTAAAACAGACAGAAAATGTACTGTCTTGGAAGAACTTTCATGTGTGGACCCACAAGACCACACATCTCAGCAAGGCATCCACAGGACACTCTCGAGGCAAGCCTAAGGGAATTAGAAGCATCCAGAGATGAGAGTAACTGCAAAGAATTTAGGATGAGGCAGTATTGTCAAGCCTGTCTACATTCTTGGCACCTTACTGGGGGTACCAAACAAGGAGAAGACAGAGGTAACTTGCCAAGAGGAAAACAGAGAGGAAACCGATAACAGATGTACACACAAGAAATTATTGAACCCCTGGGAAAAATGTGTCTCAAAATTAAAAGTGTGAGTGTTGCCCTGGCCGGTTTAGCTCAGTGGTTGGAGCGTTGGCTCGCGGTCTGGAGACACCCGGGTTCGGTTCCCGCTTAGGGCATGTACCTCTGTTGCAGTTTGTCCCCGGCCCCAGTTGGGGTTGTGTGGGTGGCGGCCACTCGATGTGTCTCTCTCACATTGATGTTTCTCTCTCTTCCTCCCTCTCTCCCTCTCGCTCTATGAATGCAAAAAGTGTCCTCAGGTGAGGATTAAAAAAAAAAAAAATTAAAAGTGTGAGTGTTGGAGAGTCTGAGAATCCAACAGGTAGGAGGACAGATGATCTCTCTCATTCTCCAAAAGACAGAAAATCTAAGCTAATATCAATAAGCCCAACTTCCTTGAAATGAGCATTAGAAAGACAGGTAGAATGAAATTAATTCCTTTTACGTGTGACTCTCATTAAGTACATAACTTAAATTTCAGTAAGTACCATTACCATTATTTTATCTCAGGAAGTCAATGCTTATTTTTCTGGGTAAATTGATACAGGTATACACTGAAACATTGTAGATCACTGGATTATTTTCTACATTTCAGTTTATGCCAGTATAAAAATATCAAATATATTGAAGGGTTGATCAACTTCCAAAATAAAAATTAAAAATTATGGTTAAGTCCATGTTAAAGAAGTAGATAAAGAATATTTAGAATTAAACCTTTAAATATATTGAAAACATTTTTTTAAATGTTTCTAATAAGTTTTCAATCACTTGTCCCCAAAGTTATCATGCATCTAAATCAACTTGGGAACTTAAAAAAATACAGATTTTAAAGCTCATTCCAGACTTCTTATATCAGAATCTGCATAGGTGGGACTGGGAATCTATGTTTTACAAAACCTGTTAAATGATTCTGGTGTGGCCCTGGCCAGTTTGGCCCAGCGGTTAGAGCATTGGCCCGTGGACCAGAGAGTCCCAGGTTTGGTTCCCGCTAAGGGCACGTACTTTAGTTGCAGTTTGTCCCCAGCCCTGGTTGGGGTTGTGTGGGTGGCAACCAGTCGATGTGTCTCTCTCACGTCAATGTTTCTCTCTCTCTCTTCCCCCATCTCTATCTGAAGATAAATGCAAAAATGTCCTCAAGTGAGGATAAAAAAAATATGATTCTGGGGCATTGCCAGGTTTGGAGGCTCTGATATAAATAATGCCACCTGCTAGTGCTAAAACATGCGTCTCAAGGGATAAACAATCTTCCTCCTGTAAGATCGACTTCTCAGTGAATATATAGTGACTGACTGAAAAATGATTTATCCATAAGGAAATACATGGGACATGTAAATAAAAAAACAGGTGGGTCCTACCAAGAGCTTGGATATAATAGTTGTTATTAAAAATATAATTTGGTGCAGATGCATGTGAAAAAATAATAGAAAATAATAGAACAGGAAGAATTGATAAAAAAAAAAATTCAAAAGATAGGCGAGAAAGTGCCCTTTCAATAGTGGATGTTCTTATTGTCTATATCTAGCGATCTATTATCCAAATAAAACACGAAATCATACTTTACATGTCGCACTGCATTATTTTTAATTAACAATATGGCATAACCATATTTCTACTTGATTGATATTATTTCCCCATTCCTTTAAGGTTGTAATACTATTACTTCATTATATACTGAAATACCATGATTTAACTGATTCCAATAACCAAAAGAAAACCAGAAAAAAACATAAAAGCAAGTAAATCACCCACAGAATTTTTATGGCCAATAAACACATGAAAAATGATTCAGGCTCCTTAAGAATTTCTAATAAACATAGAAACAATGATGAAATAGCATTTCTCATCAAACATATTGGCCAAATAAATTCAAGATTACTTGCAATGCTTAATTTGGGCCAGAGTTTGGGAAATTGGAAATACTCAAATGATGTTGTTTGAAATGTAAATTGAAACAAGAAGCAAGACCTTTTATTTTTAAGGGAACTGTGGAGTTACTATATGTATTAAAATGTTCAGTCCTAGGAATTAATCGTATTTACGCACGCGTATAAAGACACCACAGACCTTCACTGGGGCAGTAACAGGAAGCTCTACACAGACACACCCTGCTGGTGGGACAGAGACAGCCAGTCTGCAGGAAAAGGAGGAACTGAGCATTAAATTCAAATCCTGGCTGATCTAGATCCCGTGTAATTAGACACCACTATCTCAAGCCACACTCCTCCCCAAACTTTTATTTTTAACCCCTACATAAAATACACACGTTATAAACACAGCACAGTACTTAACTTGGCCTCACTGGCTTGATCTTTCCCATGCTTCCCACACACGTAAGCGAGTTCCTCATCGCTCTCTACAGAGCACCCACCATAATCCCGCCCATTTCCTTCCATCAGCCTCCTCTCTCACCCTTCCCTCCTGCCCTCTCTGTTCCAGCCACATTGGCCTTTGTTCCCTCCTGAACACCAGGTTTGTTTCTCCCTAAGAGCCTTTGCTCTAGCTCCGCTCTCTCGTGACAACGCCACGGGCCCAGCTTTTGCCTGGCTGTCTCCTGCTCGTTATTTAGACCCCGGTAACCACACTCAACAGCAAGACTCCCCGCCAGTCAACCGCATGGAAGCGCATTACCACATCGCCTGTTTTAAGTATTGCATTGCACCTGTTACTACCTGATATTTATGTTGCTTGGGTATCTTCAACTCTGGTTATTCTCCATCTATCAGTGCTCTCCGCAGAAAAACATGCAAATTGTATGAAAGCAGAGGTCTCTCACAGTCCCAGCTGTAAGCCCAGTGCTCACCTGACACACAGCAGGTAATAAGTATGCAGGTGTCGAATAAAGGAGTGAATACATGGAAGAATGAATATTCTAGTCCCCCTCCTAACAACTGACTTAGGACGTCAGCACATCTTATCTTCTACTGGTCACATCATGTTTGTCTTTGCTTCCTTCCCACTACCCTCCGCTAGAGCTTCTCTTACAACTTCAAGTTCAGGTTGATCTTGGGGGTCCTCCCAGTCTATCCCAGGTCTCTTATGTCCTCTTCTTGAGGGATCCCATAATACAAAAGAATAATTCAATTCACCTCCAGTGATAAGGATTCCAAACACCGCATTCTCACTCCAGGTATCACAGGAAGGAGGTGGTCATAGATCCCGAAAGGAAATGGTAGGTTTGGCTCTGGAAACCTCTTTTCTGTCTGGAGCCCCATTTTAACTCACTGAAAAAGGAGAGGACTCAGGGATGAGGGATCCCACACACTGCATCCTGCAAGGAGATGAAACTGAAGAGTGACCTGTTCCATCACCCAGATAATCCAAGAAATTATCACTTAGTTAGATTAATCGATATACAAAGCACAAGACTCCCTTCCATATTGATGCAGCTGCTCTGAGTCCTTGCTGAATTTTCGGAACCAAGGAGAAACTCAATGGGAATTGCCGTAGGAATACGGTACCTGTGACTGGCCACCAAAATCAAACCCTGGACACGATAACACTGAAACAAGGCTTTTTAAACAGGAATACAGTGGAAGAGCCAGGTACAAGTCCCGTTGCAATAAAGACATAATTCCTTTGGTGCTATATACACAATACATTCAGTTTCATTGACTCACCAGCTACTGCACAAGATTAATATAGAGCAAAGTCTTCCAGGAAATAAACTGGACTGAACTTAAATGTGTCCACATTTCCTGTTATATTTAGATATGATGATATTAATTTATAAGTGCCTGTATCCATGACAACAAGACTGTTTTTATATTGTCCTGTGGTCATTTAAGTAGAAGACAGATGACATAAACTCTTGGATAGAAGCACAAATTTAATATTCAAAAACCAAATTAAAAAAAATCTAGGAGTCATGGCAGATTAAGAGACACATTTAAATGTTAGAGCTACTAACTATAAATATCAATTGTTTCTTAAACTTAAATTTTATTATACTTTATAGTTTAAAAAAGGAATTTACATTTTCCATATTATTTCACTTAAGCCTCACTCAACTCTAAGCGGCTTGAATGAAGATTTTATTATTTACCTTTTATAGGCCATCAAAACACAGACTCTGATAAGGGTTGAGCTGTGGAAATTTAAGCTCCGTATTTCAGTCTGGACACTTGCCAGGTATCTGCGTGTGTAGCCTGTTAGATGCTACAGAATCAAAGAGGAACATGGCTGAATTCCTGCTGAGATCTGATGAGCGAGACAGATGGTTAAATAATTCCAGTCAAATGTAGTAAGTGCTGGATCGAAGTCATTATAACTACTCATTGGCAGAGTGAGAAACTGAACATATATCTCTGTGTATAAATTCTATGTCATTATGTAGGCACATGAACTGTAGTATATACTGTTTAGCCATCTGTTTTGGTTGAAAGTCTGATATAATTTATATTCTGAAAAAGAAATGGACTCATATGGCAAAGATATTCTTTCCAAAGGAAGGTCTCATATGAACAATGAGAAAAGATTAGAAGCTGTTCCTCTGTATGAGTCTTACAATCAGAATGTCAAGGTAGGGTCAACAACCACCCTGGATTCCCCACAGCTCAGGGATTTACCAGGACATTGGACTTTCAGTGATAAAATCCAGAAAAATTTTGGACAATGGTAGTTAGCTAATTACATCAAGGTTAGAACAACATAATGCCCTGGCCCGTTTGGCTCAGCAGTTAGAGTGTTGGCCTGTGGACCGGAGAGTCCTGGTTCGATTCCCGCTAAGGGCATGTTCCTTGGTTGCAGTTTGTCCCGGTCCTGGTTGGGGCTGTGTGGGCGGCAGCCACTCGATATGTCTCTCTCACATTGATGTTTCTCTCTGTCTCTTCCTTCCTCTCTCCCTCCCGCTCTATCTGAAGATAAATGCAAAAATGTCCTTGGGTAAGGATAAAAAAATAAATAAATCATAAAACAAGTTTATAATCCCAACAACCAATTTTTATTAGGCTCAACCCCATTGGTTCAGATCTATTTATCTCTGGATTGGGTTTGATTATAATGACTAATGAGAATGAGAAAGTCAAATAATAACATTATATTTGTAGAACAGTTAAAATTTATAAGAATTGGTCTCAATCTTTATAAATTACCCTATGTGCTGTGGGGTCCATGACAATGATAAAGACAAGTATCTTTGTTCCCATTTTATTTTTTTATTTCTATTATTTTTATTTTTTTTAAATCCTCACCTGAGGATATTTTTCCATTTATTTTATTTATTTATTTATTTTTCCTAGATGCTCCTAGTGGGAACCGAACCTGGGACTCTCTGATCCTCAGGCCAACGCTCCAACGGCTCAGCCAAATGGGCCAGGGCTTTCCATTTATTTTTAGATAGAGTGGAAGAAAGAGAGAGACTTCGATGTGAGAGAGACACATTGATCGGTTGCCTCATGCACAACCCAGACCAGGGCCAGGTATCAAACCGCAACTGAGGTACATATGTGCCCTTGACCAGAATCAAACCTGAGACTCTTTGGTCCATGGGCCGACACTCTAACCACTGAGCCAAATCGGCCAGGGCTCTTTGTTCACATTTCTAAAATAAAGAAACAGACTTAAAGAGATAAGGAATTTGGTCAAGGTCACAAAACTCCTGGGCTTGGACAAAAACCTAGAACCCAAGACTACGCAAGGGTCCTAGATTACTTCCACCTCTGGCAGTAAAACATAATCCAATTATATGGTGCCTGGCTCACCCACTCAGAAACATTACTCATGAGCATTAGTATATCAGGGTCGTACTTAAAGTGCAATCAATCAATTGGAGAAGAAGTGACAAACTCAAAGTCAAGTGGACGTTCCTAAGTGGTAGGAGCCTTCTTAACCACTGAAGGGCAACTGAACCAAAGGTTTTGTGCATAACTAACTGGTCTGAAGCGCTTAATTTTATAACCATCTGCCTACCCTTATGGCTGTGCTGCAGTAGTGATGACTATCAGTCCCAGACGGTACTCTGGAAATCCTGAAGCTCCATCCAGCTACTTCACAGTTGTACTTACATGTATGTGCGTCAAACCAGGATCGCAGCACCTGATGCCTTACTGTTCCCAGGCTGGAGAATTCCGGTTACTGGGCCTCGCTTGAGCGAATGAACCGGAAATTACTTCTGCTCTCAAGGTTTCTGGGGCTAACGTCACATTTGCCACTCACTTCGGGGTTAGGGTGGTAGCATGTTTAGTAATTTCTTCTGCTTTATTAGTCCTCCTGTTTCTTATCTGATCTCCGAAGTTCCTTTCAGGCCAACCAAACACACGCACCTCTGTGGTATTTCCTTTTATAAATTCTGACCATAAAAATTCACAGTACAAATCTTGCCATAAAAAAGCTCACATGAATCCATGGGTTTTTAAGAATAATAAAAATAAGATACCTCAAACTGAACCTTTCATACATTCAATTTCATTTCCTGTTACAAATGAAGAGGCTTACAGTTAGAAAGAAAACTATAAAAAATTAAGAATGTTCTTTGTACTCACTGGGTTTAGGATCCATCCATATCATTAGTTGCTCAAGACTTGAGAAAAATTATTAAAGACCAAGCCCATAAGCAAGACAAACTATTCAAATTTCTTTCCTCCTGCTAGGGGATATTTTTTCCTCTTATAAAAATATCATTAAAATACCTGCGATCATGAAAATCTGCACACCTCATTTCAAAATGCCAAATAGCATAGGTTTGGTTCAATTAAAAATCAATATGTTGTTTTGGAAAGTTTGCATTACTGCCTAGAGAGTGATGAAATTCAAGGTTGGGAATGTATTTAAATAACAAATTGGCAGCTAACATTCATTCAGTAAGCGTGACCGAGATGTGAGCTGTCCACACAAAAATGCATGCTCCCCCTTCTAGAATGTGGTAGGTTTTCTGTTCAGAGGCATCTTCCAAGTCAGTGACTACATTTCCCAGCACCTATTTGCATAAAGACATAGTCACATGACTAGTTTACACCAATAAAATGGGAGCAAAATGATGTGTGTTACTTTGGAGCTTGGGATCTTTTTAAAGAGGGAGATGTGCTTTCTTCACTGTCTCCTTCCACCTGTTGGACCCTTGTGGATGGCGGAACCACAAGACAGAGGATCCTGAGTCCCTGAAGGCCACCTCCACGCAGTAACACCCACAGTGGACTCATGACTGACAAAGAACATTCTATAATGTCAAGCCATTGAAATTTTGTCTCATTTTTTAGTAGCCAGCATTACAGTAATTGAATACTCTGGGCAAATACGTTTCCATCACTAGCATCCATTTTTTATTCTGTCCAGAAAAATATAATGTTTGGAAAAGCCAAGTTCTTCATTTAATATAGACACAATTAGGTCTCATCCACACCTTATGTTTAACCATACTGCCTGCTCTATGATAGCAGTACAAATACTACTTCTTTTTAAAAAAAAATTTTTTTTTGTTTCCTTATTGATATTAGAAACAGAGAGAAAAGGAGAAGGAGAGAGAGATAGAAACATCGATTGGCTGCCTCCTGCATGCCCCTCACTGGGGATTGGGTCCACAACTTGGGCATGTGCCCTGACAGGGAATCGAACCGGCAACCTCTTGGTGCATGGGTCAATGCTCAACTACTGAGCCACACTGGCCAGGCCAAATATTACTTCTTTGGAGAAGTCTACTCTATGGTCCACCTAGTTTTATTCAACTTTTTAGTGGCTACAATAGCACCATTTATCTATCCTTAGCAATTATTACAAATGTAATTTTACATCTAACTTTTGTAATTATATGAATGATGTCTTTTCTCCTTACTAGACTGTAAGATTTTTCATTTCAGAAATAATGTTTTCTTTGTTTTACTCAGCATTGTGTCTACCATGTCTAACACACAACCCACATGTAGTATCCTGAATATACATCTGTTAACTGGATATAATGAATAAATAGTTCAGTGTGGTATTAGGACAAATAAAGACCAGAGAAGGTAAAAAAAAAAAAAATGATAAAAGTACTTTTATGGAACTTAGACTTTTCTCTTTTCCTTCAAGTTAATCACTAGTCTTTTGCTGTCTCAATGGAGAAAATCGTGAATTGGCCAGTGATAAATTGGCATTATAGAACATAAGTCAAATCATAGCAATACTTTTATTTTATTTTATTTTATTTTATTTTATTTTATTTTATTTTATTTTATTTTATTTTATTTTATTTTATTTTATTTTATTTTTATCCTTACCCGAGGACATTTTTCCATTTTTTTTGTTCAGATAGAGTGGGAGGGAGAGAGAGGAAGAGAGAGAGAGAAACACCGACATAAAAGGGACACACCGAGTGGCTGCCACCTGCATGACCATCCAGGGCCGGGGACAAACTGCAACCGAGGTACGTACCCTTAGCGGGAACCGAACTCGGGTCTCTCTGTACCGCAGGCCGACGCTCTAACCGCTGAGCCAAACCGGCCAGGGCCGTTTACTTTATTCTTAACAAAAGACTATATCCATAATATTTTTCACCCAAACTGTCATTTTTTTTACTCCACTAAGAACATAATCACTGGTGCCCAAAATATTACAGTAACATTTGCTGATGTTATGACCTGTAAACTTCCCCCAGGACGTTAATCATTATAACAGCACGTGGAAAGACACGGCATCACGGAGACCCTGTCTGGCAGCCGTAGAAGTGGTTGGCCTGTCGGCCCCCGAGGAGGAAGTGTGACTGTCCCGAGTGAGGCCGAGGGAAGAACCTGGGGATACACAAGCCAGCCTCCCCCGGGGCCCCCGCAGTCAGGACACACCGTGCTCTTCCGGCTTCCAAAACGTCGGCGCCGAATCAGGGCCAGGTCACATCCCCCCGACGCTTTGAAAGCGTCAGGGCTGGCTGTGAGGCAGGAATTCTGGGGGACCCTGTGCTATTACTCAGGCCGAGATACCTCTTACCTTCCCACACCTGTCCCGATGCATCTGGTTAGCGCTAGTCCCTTGGGGAGCTGAGTTTAGTGATGACTGCCTTAGAGAAGCCTTCCTAACATCCTGCCAACTCCATTCCTGGCCAGACCTCGCCTCCGTGTGTGAGTTATATACTGCTGCCTAACAAATGACCCAAAAGTAGTGATTTAAAACAACAAGTATTTATCATCTCACACAGATTTTTAGGGTCAAGAACCCAAGATTGGCCTACCTGGCTGGTTCGGGCCTAAGGTCTCCCAGG